CCTGGGCAGTTGTCCCCACATCAAGTTAGTCTGTGCCCTATTGGTACCCCCCGTCTTGTGATGTTAGCACCACCACTGGGAGAACACAGAAAGTGTTTATATACCTTATAAAAAGAGTCCATACTCAGTAAGCTGACCCACGGTACATCTAAAGCTTCTATTATTTTTCTCGAAGCTGTAGTTTTTCCTGAGGCGCTGCCGCCACATATTCCTGAAAATAGACAGAACAAAATATCTTATAATTGAGAACATTGCTACAGGCTGGTGGTATTTCTCTATAAACAAAACATACACTCAGTTATTGATATGTGCCTTTACATTTTACTCTCCATATAGATTCATTATTCTTATCTTTTATTTCATTTTCCTGTTATATTAGAATTTTGAATAATGGTGGGGATTTATAGATTGGTTTTTATTCACTATTTGAGATTTCCTTTTAGATAACAAAACATTGTATATCTTTTAATATTAACCTACAGTAATTATTTGAATGTTTAAACTTTGCTGTAGCAGGTTTTTGTCACCCATATAATTTCTGAATCACATTCTGCATTTTATCTCTATCAATTGAAATTTGAAGTCTTTTACCTTGTGCCTTATTTTCAACATAGTAAATATATCAGAAAATCTTGATGAAATATGATATAAACAGTAAGTAGAGCATGCCCACCCTAAAAACATCTTTTAACCTGACCCCCTGGGTGTAAAAACAAGTTATTAACTAATGTCATCTAGTCCCCCAAAACATTAGTAGGTCAAATCAACAAAATACTTTTACAAAATTTCTTGAAATAAAAATAAGAAATGTAAATAAGAAATACTACTCAATAAAAAATATTCTTATAAAATGTTACCCTGTTTTTAATTATCCTGTTTTGGCTAAATAAACCCAGCAACCTCATGCACTGTACAATGAGGGAAATTTTCATACACTTACCTATAACAAAAGGTTTTTTGAGTTGACCCTGTGAATCATACCAAGGTGGTCGACCTGCAGTATATAATGTTCGACTACCAGTGTAAACAACACGACCACTCGACTTCGTGTATGCAGCCTGTGCTTTCACTTTCTTTTTGGCCGATATTGATTTGGTGGGACTTTTTGTAGGTTTGGTTGGTGTTGTTGGGGTGGTAGTTGTTGTGTAATGTTTATCACCATAGCTATTTATTTCATCATCTTCCCCACTGAAAAACACAGAAATAAAAAAATCTTAAAATAATTTGGGAATTCATACGACAAGGCAGGATTATACCAGGCGACAAGGCAGGATTATACCAGGCGACAAGGCAGGATTATACCAGACAACAAGGCAGGATTATACCAAACGACAAGGCAGGATTATACCTGACAAGGCAGGATTATACCAGGCGACAAGGCAGGATTATACCAGGCGACAAGGCAGGATTATACCAGGCGACAAGGCAGGATTATACCTGACGACAAGGCAGGATTATACCAGACAACAAGGCAGGATTATACTAGGCGACAAGGCAGGATTATACCAGGCAACAAGGCAGGATTATACAAGACGACAAGGCAGGATTATACCAGACAACAAGGCAGGATTATACCAAACGACAAGGCAGGATTATACCAGACAATAAGGCAGAATTATACCAAACGACAAGGCAGGATTACACCAGACAACAAGGCAGGATTATACCAGGCGACAAGGCAGGATTATACAAGACGACAAGGCAGGATTATACCAGGCGACAAGGCAGGATTATACCAGACGACAAGGCAAGATTATACCAGACAAGGCAGGATTATACCAGGCGACAAGGCAGAATTATACCAGACAAGGCAGGATTATATCAGACGACAAGGCCATTATAGAAATATTAAAACAGAACCTGAAACATGTTGTTTCCCTTTGTGCCATCTCCAGACTACTGACCTATTACAACCTAGCTGTGTCTCTACTGAAGTTTGACAAGCTGTATTTGTTCTTGTGTCTGTAACTTGAGACGGGTTCAGATAGTTTGTATATTTAATCATGG